TTTCCCTGAACAATCAACGCGCACGGCTCCTGCGCGAGAGCTATAGCACCTATGCGTCGCAGCATAGGGAAAAGTTCCAATGGAGTAAGGCTTTGCCCCAGGCTGCCGCTGGGTCAAAGTCGCGAGCTCAGCGGTACCTCTGGGTGCAGCGCGTATGAAACAGGTTGCCGCTGCGCCGTAGCCGGTCGACGGTGCTGTTACCAGGTCAGGGCCCCGGGGATTAGGAGGCTGCAGCGCGACCGGCGCCGCGCCCAGCAACCACCCTCACCGGCCGCGGGCCCCACGAGCAGGGCCTCTCCTCCGCCCGCCCCCGCGTCCGCGATCCCGGCTCGATAAGCTCACCCGCCGGCCGGCATCTTCGCGGAAGGCGGCGGCTCGTCTCAAAGTGCGGAGTTCCCGCGACCGTAGCAGGTGAAGCTCGCGAACTTCCGTGACCAGGCAGTGGGCCTCGGGATCATGAGGGCGCTCCGAGTCAGGGAGGGTGGGCAGCGGCGTGACAACTGCAGGATACTTTACACAGCTGATATCATCGTCTCAGGACCATGAAAGTAACGACGAAGATCAACAACAACAGAAAACTGAAGAGTGTATCAATTGTTTTGCATGAGTGGGACATAATGACCAACATTAGGTACATAGCGATAGTGGGCGGTGACGAGTTGTTGAACTTTTGGCCAAACTCGCCGAGGGTTTGGTGGAAAGTGGCGTTGCAATGATAAGTGATCGGGGGATGTTGCGCATTGCTCTTCCTTTTTAATTTCACAGTTTGTCAAGCGCACAGATAAAAAACAAAAGAGCCTACAGTGTGTTTGGCCACTGTTTGCCGCGCATCATGGCCACACCTGACCTGTGCCAACTGGGTCTTCCTATGGGCAATCGGGGCCGGCCCGACCCGACCCCCTTTCATCGACTTTACGTGCACCGTTGCCATGGAGCACAGGTACGCGCCGAGCAGGAAGCGGCACGGCTCGAGCACAGGGATTCAGCCAGCACGGGGCCCGCTGGAAAGACAAGTCGCCTATTGTTGCTTGTAAAAAACTTGCATTGATGAGACCTGGGAAGGCATGACGCAGCCCGAGTGATCGCCAAGCGCGTCTGTTTGAGAATGGAATAGCTACTCGGCGACACGGAGCCACTTGCCCTGACTCTCCTTGACAGACTGATCTCCAAGCGCGTCCGTTTGAGAAGGGAATAGCTACTCGGCGACACGGAGCCACTTGCCCTGACTCTCCTTGACAGGCTGATCTCCAAGCGCGTCTGTTTGAGAAGGGAATAGGTACTCGGTGTGGTGTTCGTGCTCGGGTCTAGTGACGTTACGTGTGGGCGGCCCATCCTGCCGTTCGATATGCCGATTACGACAACCTTGTCTGCAGCAGTGGATGCGCCAGGTTGGCGCGGTGTGCAGGTGTCCAGAGAATACATCCTTTGATTGGTTTAATCGTGTGTGCCGATGAACCGAGGACTTGACATGGCGCGGTCGGTAGGTGATATAATGTGAATGTCGTGTTTTGCATATTTTGCCTCAAGCACCTATCGGCACAAGTACGGCATTGAAGTCAAGCCAGTCAAAGCCGAATGAGTATGAAAAGCACATGAAAAGTACACGGCACCAATCAGGTCTTCAGACGTCTAGTGGACAGCGCGTCGAGGCCTTATGCGGCGGGGCCGGGTTCAACTCCTGGTGGAGACGTTCGTTCTGACACGGTGGCGGATGGAGATGACTTTGCCGCTGCAATAGCGAGCCTCATTAATCTGTTGAAAGACCAAGTTGAAGTCGCTAACCAGCGTGAACAACGGATGGCTGACCTTGTGACCCAGGCTTTGTAGGGCAGACAAGGGGGCGAGCCCGCAGACGACGCCGTCGCCGAGACTTCACAAACCACAGCCAGCAGACTTCGCCTTCCACCGTCAGCCACCCCAGGAACGCGGCTAGCCACCTCCGCTAGTCTGAGAGAGTTCTCGACCTGGCGAGAGAAGCACAAAGGCTACCGTTTTCTCACAGGCATCGACTCCCTCCCCATCAAAGAGCAACAAACAGCGCTACTGGCACTCCTCGACCATGAATGGACGCGAGTCGTGCGCTATTCTCTAGACGTAGGCGACACAACTTAAGCAGACGACCTGCTGGGCAAGATGGAAAAGCACCTCAGGAGCTAAAGGAGCGTCATCCTGGACAGGAAGGAATTCTGCACAAGACCGCAGGCAGATAGAGAGCCGTTCGACAACTACTTGATGGCGATAAAGGAACTGGCGGAATTCTGCGATTTCTGTGCCCACTGTATGGGCGACAGACTCCGGGACAGGATCGTAACCGGCATCCGCTGTGAAGAAACGCTGCGACTTCTTCTCGCCGAGTCATCGCTGACGCTGCAGAGGGCAACCGACCTGTCGAGCGCGTGAAAACGCACTACAGAAGAGCGAAGCGCTCCGCGGGAGCCACGCTCGCCCCGTGTCCGCCTACTGCCGTGGCCGGAGCTGGAGCAGAGGCAGACGGGACACCCCAGACATCCGACAAAGACGGGACAGCCCAGACAATGGTGGAAAACGACCCAGCATGGAAAGACGGGACGCCAGCTACAGACGAGGCGACGACTTCAGTTGAGGCGACAACTACAGGCGAGACGACAGCTACAGGCGAGACGACGGCTACAGACGAGACAACCGGTCGCATAGCCGCAAGAGGCGATGCGGCTACTGTGCCGGACCATGGCACCCCAAGGAGCAACCGGCCTCTTGCCCAGCCAGAAACACAACACATAGTGTCTGTGGCATCAAAGGACACTACACATCAGTCTGCAAGCGGGCCAGACGGAGCAACACGTGGTCAGACTACGGAGAACGGCAGACGTCCGACAACCTCCATGTCAACGACGTGCGCGTTCAAGGTGTGACCGCGAAGAAGACGCCGCAAGTGTCTCTCCTGGTCAGCCATCAGAGAGGTGTAGGATCACGCCTGTGGACACCAGACACTGGTCTCCGTCATCGGCGCCAAAGAAGCAGAGCGGATCGGCATCGACTCCTCGCAGCTGACACAGCCGGCCGACAGTCCCCTGGTCGATGGAGGGCACCAACTGGAGTGTACCGGCACGTTCAAGTGCGAGTTGACCATGAGACGACGCCAGACGTCGACCACCGTGATAGTTGCGACAGGCAAAGACGCGGCCCTCCTTTCATGGCATGATCCCATCGCTGTTGGCATCATCTCGCCTGACTTCCCGAGACAGATCTACGGTGTCACAGGAACAACGACGCAACAGACTGCTGCTGAAGAGACGACGTCTACACCCGTGACGACTCAGGACGTTCAAGCGGCAGAAGTAAGCACGTCCCTTCCAAGATGGAAACCAGATGACGGGTACCCGACGCCAGCCCAGAAGGACCAGTACCTGGACACGCTGAAGAAGGCGTTCCCGAGAGTGTTCAGCACCCAGCCACCGCTGAGGGAGATGTCAGGTGGTCCAATGCGGATCGATCCACAGCCAGACGCTCCGTACGCTGTGACAGCCGCCAGACACATCCCTCATGCGTGGCGAGACGACATCAAACATCAGCTGGACGATCTGATCGCGCAAGACGTCATCACGCCCGTGACACACCCGCCTGAGTGGTGTCACCCGATGGTCCCAATGCCGAAGCTGCCCACGGACCGAAGCCACGGCAAGACCTCCGTGCGCATGTGCGTGGATCTGACCAGACTCAATCTCTACGTTCGACGTGGAGCGCATCCAGCCACCACGTCTCATGATGTCGTCACCGGAATCGAGCAAGGGAGCCGGTACTTCACGAAGCTGGACGCGAAGTCAGGATGCTTCCAGATTCCGATCGCAGAGGAAGACCAGGACCTGACGTGTTTTATAACACCCTGGGGACGCTACAAGTTCAAACGCGCCATCATGGGCTTCTGCACGTCCGGAGACGAGTATAGACGACGTGGAGACGCTGCACTGGCGGGCCTGCCGAAGACCAACAAGGTAGTCGACGACATTTTGGCCTGCGATGACGACTACTCGACCCACCTTCTGCACGTCACCCAGATTCTCCAGCGATGCGACAGCCGTGGCATCACCCTGAACCCGTCGAAGGTGACGTTCGCCGCTCAGACGCTGGACTTCTGCGGCTGCGTCATCAGTCCTGACGGCTACACAGCAGACCAGCGCAAGGTGCGGACTATCGCTGACTTCCCCGTTCCAGAGAACCTCACAGACTTAAGGAGCTTCATGGGACTGGTCAACCAGCTCGGAGCGTTCCCGACGGACACAGTCAGGACAGCCGAGTCTCTGCGCGACCTGCTGAGGCCCCGGAGCCAGTGGACATGGACATCGGTGCACCAAGCAGCGTTCGAAGCCGCCAAAGCAACGCTCGTCACCCCTCCCGTCCTGGCCTACTTCGACCTGTCACCGTCAACCGCAGTCCACACAGACGCATCACGACTCCGAGGCCTGGGCTACGTGCTGCTGCAGCGTCACGGCCAGGAGTGGAAGCTGGTCCAGTGTGGCTTCAGATTCCCGTCTGAAGTCGAGTCACGCTACACTGTCGTGGAGCTCGAGATGCTGGCGGTGACCTGGATCGTGCGCAAGTGCCACATCTATCTGGCTGGAATGGCAGAGTTCAGCCTCGTCACCGACCACAGACCTCTGGTGCCCATCCTCAACACCAAGTGTCTGGCGGAGATAGAAACCCCAGTCTCCAACGACTACGAGAGAAGCTCATGGCATACACTTTCACAGCCGCCTGGAAAGCTGGAAAGACTCATCAGCTCTCAGACGCGCGGTCAGGGTCACCCGTCGATCAGCCGAGCCCTGAAGACCAGGAAGCTGAACACGACGTGACGTACCAGACGCGCAGTGTCCCCCTGACACGCCTCACCGACGGCGGCGAAGACGAAACGGTATCTGCTCCGTTCCAGGACGCTCTGCTGGAGAAGGTCAAAGAAGCTGCCGGCGCGGACGAGGCGTATCCAAAAGGTGGCGAAGACCGTCATGCAAGGATTTCCCGAACACATGGCAGACCTCGCCAGTCTGGTTCATCTCTACTGGAACGTCCGAGTGCGCCTATCCATCGACGACGTCCTTCTCGTCTGCGGAGCACGGTTCGTCATCCCGCACAGCCTACGACGTGAAGTGCTCGAACGTCTTCATGACAGTCACCAAGGCGTCGACAGGACAAAGCTGCGCACCAGACATTCGGTGTACTGGCCTAACATCGACCAGGACGTCCACAAATTCGTGACATCATGTCGCCACTGCCATGAGAGACTGCCCAGCCTGCAGAGGGAGCCACTCATGACCGACCCCAAGCCGACGACAGTCTTTCAGTCCGTGTCGGCGGACTTCTTCCACCACGCAGGAAAGACGTTCCTCGTGTACGCCGACAGACTCTCCGGTTGGCCCATCGTCGTCTCCTGCGACAGAGAAGCGACGTCTCGGATCCTCGTCTGCTCTCTGCGCGAGCTTTTCTCCTCCACAGGCGTGCCAAACGTCCTGAGAAGCGACGGAGGCCCACAGTTCACGGCGCACCACACCAGGGACTTCCTCGTGCGCTCGTGCGCAGACACGTGCTATCAAGTCCGCACCACCCCCAGTTGAATGGCCACGCGGAATCAGCAGTCAGGCTTGTCAAACGACTCCTGCAGAAGACATCTGTGGCCGGCAACACGGACTCCGACGAGTTCGCCCGAGGCATCCTGGAGATACGGAACACGCCCCGGGTGGACGGACGCTCACCCGCCCAGATCCTCTACGGGCATCCAGTTCGGTCGGCAGTCCCCATGCACCATCGCGCCTCCGACAAAGCTTGGCAGAACGCTGCGGAGGAGTGCGACCGGAAGGGGAGGATGTGATGAGGGCGACGACTACAGCCTACGACAAAGGAGCAAAGCTATCGCACCCGATGCGAAACGGCACGAAAGTGAATGTACAAGACAAGGAGGCAAGACTCTGGGACAGAATGGGAGAAGTCGTGGCCATCGGGAAAATGAGGGATTACCTGGTAAAGATCCCCAGCGGTCGCACCACGTGGCGGAGCCGGCGGTTCATTTGTATGTACCGGCCCGTTTACGCCACGCGGGGCGATCCGGTCCCCGCACGCAGTGACGTCGCACTAAGACCAGCTCCAAAGAAGGTGCGATTTGCGGACTGACCCAGGACGGTGGCGCCGCGTCGAGGCAACCGTCAGCGGAGGCCCCCGGAGAGCCTTGAGGTCGACCCGAAGGCCAAGACCTACCGATCGACCCGGGGGACGTGTGGTGCTCGTGCTCGGGTTTAGTGACGTCACGTATGGGTAGCCGATTATGCCGTTCGATATGCCGATTACGACAACCTTGTCTGTAGTAGTGGATGCGCCAAGTTGGCGCGGTGTGCAGTTGTCCAGAGAATACATCGTTTGATTGGTTTAATCGTGTGTGCCAACGAACCAAGGACTTGACACTCGGTGACACGGAGCCACTTACCCTGACTGTCCTTGACAGGCTGGTCTCCAAGTGCGTTTGTGTGAGAGGAAAATAGCTACTCGGCGACACAGAGCCACCTGCCCTGACTATCCTTGACACCAGACATGCCTTACTCCGCGCCTGCAGCATGGATCAAGCAAAAAAGGTCGACGGTAGAGAGATAACGTCCAATCTGCAAGTACACTGATTATGTCTACGGGCATTATCATCAACCTTGTCATGCTAAATTGTGATTTTTGCTCATGTTTTTGGCATGAGTACAAATTCGTGCAGTTACTTTGCTTGGTGCCTTGGTCTGTTAGCAACACGTGATGCTGAGAATCAAAGATGACTCCCAGATTGTTTATCGCAAGATATCTGCTCAATCCGGGCCGTCTAATGATGCATCATTGGGAGGCACGAAGGTAATTTAAAAATACATCGACAATAATAAGCCGTAGTGATAATACGACTGTTAATACTTGGCGGCCCAATAGGAGGGCGCATCTTCTGAAGCTCCAGATTAACATTAAATTAAAAGCATACGTCGCGCCTTTATTCTAGCCTCTTGTTATAATCCTTGACATATCTGCAAGTGGCCAGCATCGTTCCGTGTTAAAACGAGCCACATAACGAGCCACATAACGAGCCACATAACGAGCCACATACAGTTTGGAGCGGTGTCCGAAGCGGGATAACAAACAAGAGCTAGTAACAAACTAACTACCTACGACATGATCATGTATCACCCGAACAGCCCGAGCTGGCATCTGGTTGTTGGTTGTTTGGATGAGATCCGTTTCGGCCAGCCATCGCCGTTTCAGGGGCTGTGTGATGACGGAGAGTGGATACTGTCGGGGCATGCCTACATGCACTTGTGGGTCCATCCGCCGGGAAAAAGTCCGCAAAGCTGTGCTGGGTACGTGCCGAGGACTCGGACGGGCCCCCACCAATGGGCAATGAAGTCCTCTGGTAGCTGGTGCGTGTGGCCTGCCCGGATGGACAGGGTGTCGCGAGAGTTCAGCATAACGCAAGAATGGGTGCAATAGGGCGGATGCAACTCTGCAGTGCCCGGGAATGACTTGAAATCCCTGTATCATAGATCTGCAGTGTCCGGGAATTACTTGAAGTCCCTGTATCATAGATCTGCAGCGTCCGGGAATTACTTGATGTCCCTGTATCATAGATCTGCAGTGTCCGGGAATGACTTGATGGCCCTGCATCACAGATCTGCGGTGTCCGGGAATGACTTGAAGTCCCTGTATCATAGATCCTTGCACGAGTCGCATGTTCTGATGTGAACCGTCAGACAGCAGACAGCAGGCCCTTATCCACTTTATGTACTTACACTGGACCGCGACCATTCCTTGCGCATGACTACGCGATGCGATCACGTTGCAATACTCCCAAATGGATCTCGTGCTGGCACCGAAGTGGCGAGCATATCCATGCCGCTACCCAAAACTGATTAATCGCTTTTACTTGTCAGAAGGGGTTTTTTTGAAATTCCAAGGCCCTGTTTGGATCAAACAGCATCGTTTCCACTTGAAATAACAAATTGTTTTTCACGGTGGTCTGTACCGACGGTGACAGCCGGAGGCATTCCCTTCTGTAAATGCGCACGGTGGGGAACGACTCACCGTGGAAGAACCCTGCATGCCAACGGGTGTTATGCTGTGCTTTGCTATGTCATGTTATTGTATATGTATGTTATGTATATGTTATCTCTATGTATGTATACATATGTGTATGCATATGCCATAGATGTGCTAGGCATATGTTATGTACAAATATATATATATATATATATATATATATATATATATATATATATATATATATAGTATGGATATGTATGTATGCATGTTATGTATACCAATGTTATGTCAGTGCATATGACATAATGAATGTTATATCCGGTTGGCGACGAATTCATTACGTGTAAGCGCGCTGCCTGTGATGCTTGATGAGATTAGGTCTACCGGAAAAAGTCGTTTTTTAACTGAATGCGAATAAACGTAACGACATACCTTCTTGTTCCAAATGAACCTCTTTCAGAATAGCAAATTTTGCATAAAACAAATAGCTAGTTTGAAGTAGCCGTTTATCTGAATGGCTTGTGGTTCAGCGTTTGACTTTCCCCTTATTTCAAGCGGTTGTGGTTACATTCATATCAGCCGCCGAATAGTTGTATAGCTGTGAAGTGCAAAGCTGCTACAGCTAAATAACTATTTAAGAAATTGGGCAACTCCTATAGCATCATATTTTTGGACACCCATTTCATCGCCACGCTGTGAAAACTTTAGGAGATTTCAGCTTGCGCATGGGTGTTCTGGGAAGCGAATGGCACATGGAGTTGCTTTGAACCAGGGCACCATTTAAGGCGCGGTAGCATTTGAGCTGGGTGACCTAAAAACATGCAAATGATATCCCGTTGTCATATTCCTGGTGAGGATGAAAGTACGCTTCATGTCTTTATGCAAAGACTAATGAATTTTTGCTTTAATTCAAAACAATCAAAATGCGACCAATTTTGCGGGAGATTCGATTCGTTTAACTATGCAAGTTTGCTCGAAGGCAGCATGTGATTAACAATCTACATAGGGGAACATAGTGAACACCACTACAGCCTGCTGCGATGCTCTAGCCTGAGCCAGCGTGCAGGGTCATACCTAGATTGCAGGCGCACGAACAGCTTTCGGCAGCGGTGCTTAATGATATCGATGTTCCGGTACACGGTCACTTGAAGTAACAGCAGCGTGTTTTGTGCAACGCGTTGATGTCAGGTTTTGATCAAGTCGTTTCAACTTCATTCCTGACGTTCGAGTCAGCATGAAACAGACCATTCGCTGCTTTTTGAAAAAGGACTTCGTGTAGCGATATAAAGACGATGATGTTCTTAAGCTTTGTACTTCAATAGACTTACACCATCGTTTGGCTGCACTGTCACGCTTGGCTTGATCAGGATCAGCGCCCTGCTCACCCAAACCAACATAACCCGAATGCCCGACTAGGCATTAACTGGAACTAACGTTTTAAACTCCTTTTCAAGTGTATTTGCCAAATTTCAACGATTGTTCTGCGTGATGTTGACAATGACACACATGACGTCGTATATGGCGTTTATCTTGCGTGAGCCGTCCGGGGCGTTGTGATTGGGCCACCATTTCGCAGCAGATAGGCGCGCGGATGGCGTTGGACGTGGGCTCAGCAAGGCGTTGCAGTAGCAGCTAGGAAGAGTATTGATTTTTACGATATATTCGTGAAAGCTGCTTTTCGCTCCGGAATATGTGAGTTAAACAGCTCAATGCAGGAAATAAAGGCCTTCAGTCCCTGTTTTTTTTTTTAAAGAATTGTGAACTCAAGGTTTTCAGGTTGAGTTACCGATCTCCAGTATACAATGAGGTGCTAGTTGGGGATGAGCGCAGCTGTCTCAGCATGAGGTGCTCTCTTGGGGATGGGCAGAGCTCGAACCATTGAGTACCGTCATTACAACCGTTATTTAGCGCTACAACGTCGTTGAGCCAGCACCTCCTAGAATACTGAAGGTCGTTAACTCAACCCAAGCACTTTCGAACTGATGATAACACAAAGTATGGTCATCAGTCTATTCCTGCAATCTAAATGCATTGGCTAATAATGGATTCCAGCGCCCAAATTATGGTAGCTTAAGCACAAGGATATAAAACCAAACGAGATCATTTATTCATTTTAAGAAAAATATCTTACAATGGATGATCAAAAACCGACGGCAGGCACCCCGACTGTGGACTGCAAGCTCAACATGGTGCCCGACGGATTCCACCGCAGACCCCCACCGCAGCCGGGCACCCAAATGTCCTGTATACAGCCGGGCACCCAAATGTCCTGTATACAGCCGGGCACCCCAGTGTCTTGTATACAGCCGGACATCCCAGTGTCTTGTATACAGCCGGGCACCCCAGTGTTTTGTATACAGCCGAACACCCCAGGGGCGACCTCCCGGGTGAACATCTCAGCCGCGGCCGCCCAGCCGTGTACATCTAGACATTTCGTCTCAGAGCGTGATCAGGCTGTTAACAAAAGCTTCACCGCGAGAAAAACCTGCAGGGAGGCGTGCAAGCCTGGAAAGGTCTCAAGCGTGGTCAAACTGTAATTACCCAACTGAGGCCGATGATC